ATTGGGGAAAATCGCGAGAAACGTAACTTTATGTAATTCAAGATGGTGGAAACGCCCACTGGCGGCCATCTTGGAAACTTGAAAATAATTTCCAGCATTTTCCCTTGCCCACTTTACCTGTAAAATTTTTTACCGTAGCTCTCTACGATCATTAGTTTCTGAGATACAGTCGCTTATCTCGCTTATTTGACCACCCTGTACATAATATACAAGTTTACAACTTTTTAATTGTCCAATATGGGTATCTTTTTATTATAAGAGATACAGAAATGGTTAAATTGTGCTGATCACGGATTCGTTTTTAAATTCGTAAACAAAGGAATTGTTTTTCAAAATTTTAGGACAAAAATATGTAGTTTGATATAAAATGATGTGAGGAATCGATTTTTGCTGTCAGTATTAACGTATCTCTAAAAATGTGTGCTGAGCAGTAGTTAACTTTTGGTTTTGTTATGTACGCCATATTGAATCTTTGCTTCATTAGAAGAAAAGGGAAGTTCTCTTCATAATTATGTATAATTTATGGGGTTTTCATAAACAAGTAACTAAGATATTGAATATAATTATAATTTTAATAAAAAAGTCAAGTAGCCATGTGAAACATTTGCATTTTTTCTATAAATTAATTTAATGTTTTTTATGTTTAATACTTTTTAACACAGCAACTTTTATTTACATAACAATAACAAGAGCAACTAACAAAACAACATAGAGCAAAACAAAATTGAACGGTAAATTTAAATTTTGTCATATGTTCGAATGCATACCACTACTATTCTTATGCACTCGTTCATAAATGTTCTGAGTAGCAAATTGAATATATTGAGTATTGAGTTTATCGCTTTTGAAATATTTATTGTCAATTCTTCCTGATTGTCGTATGGTTGTGTATAGCTGATCCTTAACATAACCATAAAAAAGTCCATGAAGGTCAATCTTCTCGACAGCTAAGTAACTTGATCACCAAGTAATGGTATGCACTTTGAACATTTGCGATAAAATTTAAATTTGCCATTTAATTTTGTTTTTGCTTTATCTATGTTGTTTTTATAGTTGCTCTTGTTATCGTTATATGAACAGAGGTTGCTGTGTTAAAAAGTATTAAAAATAAGACATTAAATTAATTTATAGAAAAAATTCAAATGTTTCACATGGTTATTTGACTTTTTATTAAAATTATAATTAATATAAACTTTTTATTTACTGCAAGGGAGCTCTATTCAACAAAGCTTATTTGGTTGTGATAGAGGCCAACTAATTTTGGGCCTATTTAATGCAGATATCTCGCTAGAGTTAGTGAATTTTTACTAACCGTAGGAACAAGTTTTCAGTGTCTTACTTGCTTACTTTTTCTTAAAACATTTTCGTATAAATGTAATTTTTTAAAATTACTTAAAAATGTGGTATTTTACGAACTAATACAAAATGTTTGTTTTAGAATGTTAACATTGAAAAATCATGGATACCACCCTCTATACTTACACTGGTAAGTCATGGAGACGATGCCCAAGAATATCAGACAACAAAGGCTTCTTCCATGCTGCATTTGGGGTAAGGACCGAGGAAAACGCAGCATATTTTGACAAGCAGACAGAGTTCAGGCGCATGCCTTGTGCTACCTTCCTCATTTACTTCAAAAATGAGGAAATTTCCTTCAGTCTCGTAGACTCATTGAGAAAATGTCTCTCCTCACAAGAGAATTGCCAACACTTGTCTGCTGACCTTAAACAACATATTACAAAGTATATTTCGGGTATTTTGGCCGGCGAACAAGCTGTAGCAGAGGAAAAAATTTCAATTCTCACGACGTTGGAAAATGCTAAAGTTGTAGTAGTCTCAGAGGGAAGGAGAGACCCTATAACCGTCGTAGAACCTAATCAGAACATTCTTGAAAGTTACCCAGAAGATGTCCCGAAATAAAAGCCCAAAGAAGTTGTTTTGTGCCTTGAAGTAAACGTTTTTGTAAAGTTGGAACCCGTAAATAAAGGAATACGTCCAAAATGGAATAAAAACAAGATAGAGATTAATACCGATACTGATAAATATAGAAAAAATGGCAGTGCAGGGAGCAAGGGGGTGGAATACCAAGTTAATTTACTAGCGTTGGTTATTCTTAATAGGTTTAAAAATGAATTAAGCCAGTGGAGGTTGTCTACGGAGAACGAAGATGCAGAAAAATTTGACGATATCGTTCTGGAATGGTCGGAATGAACCATTCTCATACAATCCAAGCACAAAGAAAGCAGCAACAAGAAGATCGCTTTGGAAGAACTGACTTCCATCAACTCCAAAAATGATGATTTCAGCCTACCAAAATATTTTGTCTTATATGTTAATTAAGGATAAATTTGGCTTGAAAAATGTTATCATCTGTACAAACGCAGGCGTTAATCAGAAGGCTCTAAAATCTTTAGATCATCAAAGAGACAATTGTGAAAGGTTGCTGCACTATGATGACGATTGTTCATGTGATACTCTTAATTACAAAGTTTAACGAGAACTAATAGAAACAACAATTAGCTATTACAGACAAACTTTTAAAAACAAAGGTATCGAAGAATCAATCATTACTGAAGAAAACTTGAAACACTTTTCGAAACACTTACAGATATACTTCAATTATCCCCTCTAGAGACCTTAGAAAAAAACATTGAAAAATTATTGTCAGTCACAAAATGCTGCAGCAATTCACAGAACAAGATAATCTCACTGGAAATGTTTTCTAAAGTAATGGATTGGTTCCAGCAAAAAAAAAGCGTATATTTTACAGAATATCACGCCAAAGCCATGGTCACAGAAATATGGACGGACAAATACAGCCAAAAACTAGAACGGTGTCAGGTGTCTCTTCAAAGAAACGACTTGAGCTTCCAAGGCCCGAAACAAATATTTCACGTCCCTGTATCCACCGGCCGTCTATTGCAAGTGATAAAAATTTATCAGGCTGTCCAGAATGACAAAAAGAAAACACTTTTTATAAACCCCGATGATGATATCGAGAAGTTGATACTAGAGGCATTTGTGCTTGGTCTTACGCAGAGATACTAGAACTTTAGACTTTAGATGAAAACATCACTCGGTTTTACATAAATCGCACATTTAAAAGGGCAAACGAAGAAATAGATGAGCATAACATTTATGACGAGGAAGATACAGTCCTAATTTCCGACAGTGCAGGAACGGGGAAGAGCACTGTCCTTTCTAAACTGGCGACGACTATTAAAGATGGAAATGCTCACTTGTGGGTGATCAAAATCGCACTCACTGATTATACCGGCATCCTAAGGGACCTGCTAATAAATCATAGGGAAACCGTAAACGTAGTGGAACTGTTAAATTCAAAAAAATCGACAAAACTGACTAACCATTTAGAAAGGTTTGTGTTTTTCATGGACAAAAGGGTCGTACTGATGCTCGACAGGATCGACGAAATCAGCCCCGATTACACGGAACTCGTTCTCAGTCTGCTCGATCCGTGCTTACAAGCAGTCAACTTTGCGAAACTCTTCGTTACAACAAGACCTCGCATGGTCCGATTATTAGAAGTTTTGAAAGTGAAACCGATCGTATTGCATCGCTTTACTCAACAGAACCAGGTTAACTTCCTTACTAATTACTGGGTACATAATTTGAATATAGATGGTGAGAACGAGGGCAAGTGTGACAGGTACGTGAGGACTTTGATGAACAAAATGTCATCATGGACGAAACGGCACCGTTATGACTATGAAATTGACTTTACGGCAATCCCACTGCAACCGAGAATGCTGGCGGAGATTTTCCAAGAAAGTATAAAACAGAGTGAGCCGTCGGATTGGGAAGGATGCAAGGAATATTTCAAGGAGACTAGGGTTGAACCGAAATTACCAGAAAAAATGGATATCAAGGAGTTATACGAAATGTTTAATAAGAGAAATAGGGACATCTACGTGTACAAAGGAAATCCGAATGGAAATACAGCTGCAAATGGGGCGCTGAGTAAACAGTTTGACGAAAGGCTTGTTTACCACAAAATACTCGCTTTAGAAGTGATCTTGTATGAACAAGATTGCTGACTTTTCTCGAACTTTAGATAAGGTAAGATGGTATCGACGAAAATACACTGAAGATAGGAATTGTGCAGAAATCAAATAGTGAAATTCATTTTATTCACAGGACTTTCGCAGAATATTTTGTGGCTGAAAATTTATTTGAGGAGCTGCAAGTTCAGTTGTACAAACCAAATGTAGAAGTTTTTCATCGACGAAGTATTACACTCACCCAGTTATAGAATTATTCTTATCTTCCTGGACAATTTTCTACTGAAGGCAGTAAATATTATTCCTTCGAATATTTTTGAGAGTTATCAGTCGAAGATAAGTGGCACTAGATACAAGCTTACGCGCATGGGCATGTATGATGAGTACCTTATTCATTCACTTGCAGAGGAAGGGTGTGTTGCAATTTTACGGCTTATCCTCACTTGCGTAAATTTCAAAGTTATTAGAGACAAAGAGGTTGACATCGAATCCGCGAAAAATTACAGTATCTGTAAAAAGACAAAAGGTTTCCCACCCAGAAATGAAATTAAAGATAATAGTTTAAATTCTTCATTTTGCTGTTGCGAAGAGAGATCGCTTAGACACAGATTCCTTCTGGAACAGGGTGTAAGCATTAATATTAGAGATAACGACAACAACACACCACTGCACTTGGCCGCCTCGAATAGCCAGTCGGACATAGTCAAATTGCTCTTCGAATTGGGTGCAGATTTCAATATTCGAAATAATGACGGCCGTACACCATTGCATTTACCTGCCTCCTACATTCAGTTCGACATAGTCAAATACCTTTTTCAACCGGGTGCAGACTTAAACAGTGTAAATTCCTTTATGACCTGGGCGTAAATTTAAATACTAGGGATAATGACGGCCTCTCGGCACTACATTACGCTGCCTTGCATGGTCACTGGAACACAGTAGAATTCCTCCTTGAACTGGGTGCAGATTTCAATGTTAGAGATGATAAGGGACTCACAGTACTGTATTAAGCTGCCTGGGAAAATCGTTTTGACACAGTCAAATTGCTTTTCGAACGGCGCAGATTTATTGGCTAGAGATAATGAAGGCTCGATGGCCCTACATTTTGCTGACGAGTGTGGTCATCTGGATACAACCATATTCCTTCTTGAACAGGGCGTACAAGTCGATGTTGGTGATAACGACAACAGCACGCCACTGCATTTGGCCGCCATGGCTGGCCAGTTGGCCGTTGTGGAATATCTCGTGAAACTCAGCGGTGATGTCAATTTCAAAGACAGCAATGGTCGCACGGCATTGCATTTTGCTGCCTGGAACGGACGCCTGGATATAATCAATTTCCTCCTTGAAATAGGTGCCGATTTAAATATTAGAGATATAGATGGCCTTACGGAACTGCACGTTGCTACCGTTAATGATAAATTCGACACAGCTGAATTCTTACTTGAATTGGGTGTAGATTTTTGTATTGAAAATGATGCCTGGTGTACGCCATTGCATTTAGCTGCTGCGAATGATAACTTATACATACTCGAGTGTCTTCTTAAACTAGCGTAAAATTTTAATGTTGAAGATATTATCGCGAAGTATGGACAATTATCGGTCGTTGTCGAAAGTCTCGTGGAAACCTGCGGTGATGTCAATATCAAAGATGACAATGGCCGAACACCACTGCATTTTGCTGCTGCAAAGGGTCATGTGGCTGTTGTTGAATTTCTCGTAGATGTCAACGATGATGTCAATATCACGGGCGACAACGGACGCACGCCGCTGCATTTACCTGTCTCGAATGGTCGCTTAGAGACAGTTAAATTCCTTCTTCAACTAGATGCAGACATCAATATTAGGGATAAAGATGGCAACACAGCACAGCAGCTCAACGGTCATTTTCTTCAGATTATTTTCATGACTATTTCTATGCTCACACATAGTTCTTCCACTTTAGTTTCATGCACCGAGAAATGCAGCTTTACGATATTATCGCCGGACAGGAAGTATCACTATTTAGAAGTCATGGCATGTCAAATAGGTATCTAAAACGCATGACCTTGAAAACAACTATTGATGCACCTCTGTCAGAATTTGCTTTTTTATAACCTCACTAGTATGTAATAGCAGGGCTGTCCATAAAAAAACTTTTTGGCCTAGATTCGACTATTTAAAGTGCATTTTTCGCCTCAGTTAACATCATTTTATTACATGCTCATTAGTGATTGTCGATATTTATATTTCTGTGTAACATTAACTTGGGATTTATTGTTAATACCTATCCACTTAATCATTATTTGTTTACTTACATAATTAGGTAGCAAAAATTTAGTAAACGCCTATTTGGGATTTTTATTTTAAAAAATAAGGGAATAAGTTTAGAATCTACATTTGAAGACGAATATTTGTTACAAGATGATACATTTTTAAATTTTATTGGAAGGTCGTATTCTTTATTAAAATTTTTTAGAAACGATAATCATTTCAATTAAAAAATTTAGGTAGGTAGGTAGCTATGAAAAAGCGGGTTCTACACAACCCATTTCTTTGCAACTTTATAAATATGAGTGGTCCATAACTAGAAACGTGTATCAAATTTGGTAGTGATATCACAAACAATTTAGATGTTTTATACTTCGCAAGGATTCAGAACTGACATTTAATTAATTTTAACTTGTGCTAATTTAGGCTAAGGAACACCCCGTTGAACTCCTGGTCGGTAGTAGAATTAAGGAACATCCTGTATTAGTATATATGACTATTATCTATACGTTGCCAGAGAATGTTTACTCTCAGATGAATTAATTTAATCTGAAATAAATAATATTTTGCTAGAAAAGTGATACTACTTTATCATTATTGTTACTCTTGAACTCTTTTATTCTATCTCAATCATTAACCTAGTTGTATAGTTTAAGTGAATTTGTTGAAAACATTGTAGACCAGGGCGGATCTGTTTTGAGGTGGATATGATAGGGGGCAAGACCGGAACATTTTCAAAATTGCAAAAATTTTTAAAAAATTTTAAAAAATACCTATTTTATCTGAGTTTTTTACATATATCTTGGAACCTATGCATTTTGGAAGAGGAAAAAAGTTTTAGAATTGAATTTTGCACAATATACTGTACGTTAAAAATGTTTTAATTTATTACTGATGTTGCAAAAAAGCAATTATTGATGGAAAAAAGGCAAAATAATCTAAGTTTTTTGGATAATTTTAAAAAAATATTTTAATTGCTCCAAGGGCATTCTAATTTTGGTGAAAAAAACTTTAGAAGTATAATAAAACAACACCAAATTTCATTAAAATCAGTTAGATAGTTTTCGCAGAATCATTTTTTGAAAAAAAAATATTTCGAATTTTCAAAATGTTGCACAGCCTCAAATAAAGCATCTAGATACTTGAAAATGTTTTCACATAGAAAAGACCGCTCAACCCTTCAAATAGTTTTTGAAAAATTGAAATCCGTTGATTAGGACGACCACAGTAAATTTTTCAAGTTGACACTTTTTTTATTTTTAAACAATTAGATTACATTTATCAATTTGCAATTTGGTTTTTTTCAAAAATTATAATTTTGAAGTACTATTTTTTCTTAATGTTTATCTGTATTTAACAAAAAAATTAACTTCCAAATATTTTTTTTTGTTTAAACACAAATTATTTAAATAATTTTAATAATTATAAATACATTCATATTCAGATTGTTGAAATATATACTTAAACAAATTTTTTCATTGAAAAAAAAAATATGCAGCATATTTTATAAATAATAAACATTGTTTATAACAAAATATGTACAAATTAGACAGTTGGCATTACGATATTCGAATTCCTTGGCTCGCGAGACATCGGATTAAAAAAAAAAGATCGAAATTGGTTCATTAGAAGCCGAGATAATGCAATTTTTTTCGTATCTTCGCATTTTGAACCTCCGAATTCAGTCTCAGAGCGAAAGCCCCCTCCTCCACTTTTTGTGAGTGCGAGCGACAGCTTTTATATAGAAATTTTTTCCAGCTTAGAACTCGGAAAAACGAAGCCACTGGATCAAAGATTATTGCTAAATTGTTTATAAATTAACGGTAAATGCCGCTAAACTTTACTTTAAAATTATAATTTTTGAAAAAAAACCTAAATTGCAAATTGATGAACGTAATTTAAATTGTTTAAAAATAAAAAAAGAGTGTTAACTTTAAAAATTTACTTAATCAACCGGTTTGCATTTTTCAAAAACCATTTGAAAGGTTGAGCGGTCTTTTCTATGTGAAAAAATTTTCAGTATCTATACAAAAAATTATTTTGCGAAAACTATCCAACCGATTTTACTGAAAACAACACACCAAGTGTTGTTTTATTATACTCTAAATTTGTTTTTTACCAAAATTAGAATGCCCTCGGAGCAATTAAAATATTTTTTAAAAATTATCCAAAAAACTTGATTATTTTGAACTTTTTTCACCAATTATTGCTATTTTGCAACATCGGTAATAAATTTAAATATTTTTAACTTACAGTATATTGTACAAAATTCAATTCTAAAATCTTTTTCCTCTTCAATATTCTTCCAAAATGCATAGGTTCCGAGATATAAGTAAAAAACTCAGATAAAATAGGTATTTTTTTAATTTTTTTAAACATTCTGCAATTTTGAAAATGTTTTGGACCTTGCCCAAATCTAGGGATCTAGCTTGCCCCCTCTTACATCCAAAAAAAGTGGGATATTTCGACAGATCCGTCATGGTTTATTGCTATATATTGTTGTATTGTATGTAAGACAAGGAATTAATAAATTATTATTATATTACTGTTGTTGTTATTAGCTTTCCATGTGATTTCTGGGAACTTTGATTAGACAAGAACTATAAAGAAAATAATATACAGGGTGTCCCTATATTCCGTATACTTGGAGCTATATACCACAGCCAGTAAGCCAAGAAATATTTGAAAATTGTTTACTTTTAATTTGTTATGGCTTTCCCTTAACAATATTATACAATTCCTACACAGACTTTTGAAATAAAAAAGTCACTAGAAGAAATACCTATGTTTATGGCCAGTTCTTCGTTAAAGATTATACATCTGTTTCTTAAAACTGCATAAATGTAGATGGGATATTATTTTCATAAGACATAAAACTATATGTAGTATTATTATTATCTATATCTTAGTCGTTATTTAATAACCTAATCTTAAATATTGTTCATCAATTGAATATACAAGGTGTTAACGAAATAAGTAGTCAAAATTGGAGAATATGTAAAACATGTCGAAATACGATGAAATCCTTAGTAGAGTTTTTGTCAGTGGCGGCCCCTAAGGGAGATACAGCCCCTTGAAGGGGTAACTCGGGAAACAGTTTTTATTGCATAACTTCAAAACGGTTTAATATTAAATCACGAAATTTTGGGGTTGTATTAATGTTTAATCGGCATAATATACAAATCAAAACTTGCTACAGGGGCCTAAGAAAATACGGTATTATGGGGCAAATTTTACAATTTTTTTTGTACGCAATCTTCAAGATGAAAAGAAGGAGAACCCTGGATCAAATGTTGTAATTTTGAAGAATATGGGCTCATGTTTATTGCGCCAGAATGAGTCTCAAAAATAACAATTCTAGCCGAGGAAAAATCGAAAATCCAATTTTACATATACTGGGTGTTCCTTAAATATACTGACAAACTTTTAGGGGTGGTAGAGGGCATCAAAACAAATATTCTTTGCTCTATGATCATACGTCCGTTTACTTCTGCTCCCGACATTATACAGGCTGTTACAAATTTGCTTCTCACTATAGGGATCTCGGAAACGTTATGCTACAAAGTAGCTTAAATGGAGGCAAAGTTGCATAATCAGGGGACCAACATTATGCCCTAAAAAATCAGGGCTAATATGGTTAGTTTTCGAAACATTTGAAAAAAATCGAAATTTTGGAAATCTGATTTTGTTTCATTTCAGCCTTGTTTGAGGTGATATTGAAAAAATAACACTTTCTCATGGCAACTGTCCTCTCTCGAATGGCATTTTATTGAATCATCTCACATTCAAAGTGTCGTTAGACGAATTTTTCAAGACAAAACGTTTGAATCTGATACTGGGGGTTATGAAGACTTGCAAAAAATGTTATAAAATTTCCAGGGCCGTATTTAAAAAAATGAAGTTGATGATGGTCTTGGAGAGACGAAACGTTACATATAAAGATTGATTATGCCATTCGACAGAGGGCAAAAAGTTGCCATGAGAAAGTGTTCTTTTTTCAATATCACCTCAAACGTTTTTTAAAAAATTAGTGACTGGTCGAGATACAATCGGCCACACACTGCGAAACAGTGTATGAATTTTGAAAAAAATAAAAAAAATATTTTTTGAGCTGACTCCACGTTAAAAAAGCTTTTCTTCAATAATTTATGAGAAAAGGAGCAATAAATCTTTTAAAAAATATTTAAAAAAGTAATTTTGAAAATTAATGAATTTTGATTTTACAGACCGTTTCAAAGAAATCCTTTATTCGCTGGCGTAGTTTCTTGGTATTGATTAGAATATCGTGAAAGCTAGGCTACAAAACTTGAAACATAGAACTTTTAGTAAACTGAACTCTAGAACAGTACTCAAGCTTTACTGAGACTGTGATTGTGATTAAGACTAAGAGTGTCTTGTACTGTGCAAACTGGACTGATTTTGGACCAAATCGGGTCTGTATTTATATATTTATTTCTCCACAAGACACAACCAATGTAAAATAGCTTATTGTGTGAAAAGTAATAAATCACACAATAAGGTATACATACTATAAACCAAATAATTCATATTCAGTTATAAAACATAGTAAAAACATTAAAAATATTAAAGATACTAAATTGTATGGCCTAACATTCGAAAACAATTATTCTTATATATTTGTTTGTATTAATAAATAAATACTTGTTTACGCATATTTAAAATGTAAAAAAATATCTTATTCTTTGATATGTCTAGCTAAAAAGCTTTATTCATTTTAGCATATTAGAGATTAAATACGCATTAAAAGCTAGGTTAATAACCGTATGTTACGGTAGGTCATGAGCAGTCCGAAAGAGGTTTAAATAATGTTTGGAAATAATTTTTTTCAGCATAAATATGCATTTAAAAATTTTTTTAATTGCGTATTCTACTCATTTTTCCCTATTTTTCCTTAAAATTATTCTGACTGAATCACTGTATACTGCATACTAATGAAACAATCGGGAGTAAAAATTGTGTTTTTAATAATGTTTATTGAGCTGTCCATCTAACATGTATATAAAGTTAAGACAGTCTCATATAGTACATACAAGAACAACTACAAATAACCTTAATATGCAGTATACGATTTCTGTACCTATGAATGAATACAAATACTAGTCCAAAATAACTTGTTGGCCTCCGTTCTGGTCAGGTTTTCCTGATTCAACCGATGTATTTCTAGGCGGGTGTTACGTTTTACTTCGTATTCACATATTTACGATCGGCGTTATATCCATACGTCTCCATTTACGACAATATCTTGCACGATGAACGAGGGTGATAATTCACACCCGCAATCCAATTCTTGTGCATCAATTGACCACCACTCCTGCATTTGGATTCATAATCACAGTCGGTTCACCTTCTCTATGTGTCAGTTGATGCCGTTTGATAGCATTCTTGTATTTAGTTTCGTAACCACAGTCGTTACACCTGTACATTTGAACATGCGCAGTATCTTTATGTTTCAGTTGGTGCAGTTTTATATTATTCTTGTACCTGCTTTCAAAGTCGCAGTCGTTACACTTGTACATTTTGACTTGCGAAGGATCTTTATGTTTCAGTTGGTGCACTTTGATAACATTCTTGTACATAGTTTCGTAATCGCAGTCGTTACACCTGTACGCTTGAACCTGTGAAGGATCTTTATGTTTCAGATGGTGCAGTTTCATAGCATTCTTGTATTTAGTTTCGTAATCGCAGTCGGTACACCTGTACACCTGAACCTGCGAAGGCCCTTTATGTTTCAGCTGGTGCTGTTTGACATCACTTCTGCGTTTAGCTTCATAATCGCAGTGATTACACCTGTACATCTGAACCTGCGAAGGGTCTTTATGTTTCAGTTGGTGCCGTTTCATATTAACCTTGTATTTAGTCTCGTGACTGCAGTTGTCACACTTGTACATTTGAACCTGCGAGGGCTGTTTATGTCGCAGTTGGTGCGTTTTGATATGATTCTTGTATTTAGTTTCGTAATCGCAGTCGTTACACCTGTACATTTTCACCTGTGAAGGATTTTTATGCTTCAGTTGGTGCTTTTTGATAACATACTTGTATTTAGTTTCGTAATTGCAGTTGTTACACTTGTACATCTCAACCTGCGAAGGCTCTTTATGTTTCATATGGTGCTGTTTGATATTACTCCTGCGTTTAGTTTTATAATCGCAGTCGTTACACTTGTACATTTGAACCTGCGAAGGTTCTTTATGCTTCAGTTGGTGCCGTTTCATGTTAACCTTGTATATAGTTTCATACGTGCAGTTGTTACACTTGTACATTTGAATCTGCAAAGGATCCTTATGCCTCAACATGTGCCTCCGAAGTAATTTCTCCTTTTTAGTTTCGTACCCACATGATTCACATTTGTACACTTCCAAATCGTTCTCGTGTCTCGCACAGTGTACCGTAAAACGGATCTCACTTCCAGTCTCATAAAAACATATATCACATTTGTACAATACTTTGTGCTCCTGCTTAGTTTTCATTTCTGATCCAGTCTCATGTTTACATCCATCCTCTTCTGCTTCTTTACAGTCACTCTCCTCGAATGGTACAATATTGGAGCTTGGCAGTGGTGCGTCCCTGAAAAAATTGCATATATAAGGTATTTTTGAAAATCAGATTTTAATTTTAAAAGGTTATAGGTGACACATACCGAAATATTGCGTTTCACAAAAAAATTACTACAATAAACGGGCATATTACATTTGAAATTAATGAGATGTATGACCCTGGTTCAGTGCTTGCGGTCATTTCTAACATCACACATAGGCCAACTTTTTTATTTGAAGTGATAGACTAGTACTTCCAAATGCAAAGTTGTAGGAAATAACTTGACTGAGAAAAATTTACAAATAATGCTATCTGGTGTTGCCAGATTTTTTCAGTAGTTGCTTAAACAAGATTTTTTTAATTGGCAACATCATATTTTTTCAACGTAATTTGACAAATCTTCAAATGCTAAATAAAAAATGTTATGTCACATTTCTTTATTGGAGTAGCCATTTTGGAACAATCAGAAAAAACAACGAAAATAATCTGCAGTCATGGTTGCTAGTTCAGGGTTGATTATATTATATATTGAAATACATATGATTTCAAGTGATTTTGATAAATTAAATGTAGAATAAACTTAGATTATTTACATATGAAGATTAAATTAAACAATGATTGAACAATAAGTCACAAGAAATGCTAAAAAGTTATAATATATAAAATGAAATATCATATTGATTTAAAAAAAAGATGGAATTAAATTATTAAATTATTAGTATTATTAGAATTACTTATTAAATAATCATTTGGAAAATTAAATTAAAAAAAAATTATATTGTTATTATATGTAAGAACGTTGTAAATTATAAATATGTTTGTATGGTAACGAGGTTTTGAATGGAAAATTTAAATATAAAAAGAAAGGAAGAGAAGGTGGTGAAAAAAGATGTCAAGATAGTTTTTTCTGACAGAACGTTGATATTTGGAAGAGAAAAGAAAGAATAATCAGCAAATCAGTCTGTATTATTACAAAATACTTCGTTGGATGAAATTTAGAAGTTGATTTATCATTGTATTCAGGATTTGGCAGTTATAATATTGCAGAAAGAAATTTGAATTTAAATAGAATGTGAATCCGAGTGTAGGATTAGTATAATACAAGTGGAGTCTAATATCTACAAGGACATAAAAAAAGGTGTTGGACAGACAATCAGTAAGTGAATAAGTTTTGTTGTGTACGTCAAAGTAGAATAACATTATAGTCAAAAGAACGTCGAATTTTAGCTACTAAAGAATTGTTTTGGACAGTTAGAGTAGGTGTAAATATAAGATATAGAAAAAGCAAATGTAAATAATGAATAAATTTTGGTAAAAAAAGAAATTATAGTTAAAAAAATTTATAGTCCATGCTATGATTTAGAAACCAAATTTTATTGATATATAGTCAGTCAGAAACATTTAACTTAATTTTCCAAGAAACATTTTTATAATTATTGGTGATTCATTTTATGTGTTGTAATAAAAAATATTGATAATATACTGTAGATAATTTTGTTGAAAGCATTTGATTTTTTTTTATGAAATTTTGAACCGCTCCTGAGGGAAGAGATTTATTGTTTCAATTATTAGAAGTTTTTTTTATAGAATAATAATCAAGTCACTTAAAGTTATAAGATACAAAAAAATAAAATAAAATATAAAAAACAATTGAAGTAAAGGACTTGATAAATAATCAAATTATATTCTGTTATTGTTTTTATTATTGTAATTGAAAAGATTACAAATAATTAAGTTTTGTTAAATCCTAATATCATAATAGTTATGATAATATATATATATATATATCAAATAACCCTCAGTTGATGTTTTTGGTTTGACACTTAATTTGCTAAAAAAGTGTTTAATTTGTTTGTCAAAAAAATATACGGTGTTGCCATTTAAAAAAATATTGTTTAAACAACTACTGAAGAAATCTGGCAACACCGGAAAGCACTATTTGTAAATTTTTCTTCGTCAAGTTATTTTCTATAACATTGCATTTGGAAGTACTAGTCTATCACATCAAATATAAAAGTTGGCGTGCCAGGCTTAAAAAAAATTTGTGTTACTACATATTCTTGTGGTATATTTGATGCGAGTTGGGGCAAGTAGCCCATAAAATAGTTGTTTTCTGCAATATTAACAATGAAGAATCTTGTCTAAGAAGTCGGACACCTTTTGCATACCTAACCTAGATTTCTGGTATAAAATATTGTTTAATTTTTTTAAAATTAATGTTAAAACAGTCTTCTCTTACCTCCTTTCCTCATCTTCCGATTTTATGTCGACACATTCAACTTTGATCGACATTTCCATCTCACTAATATCGAATTCTTTGTCCAAGTTTTCAGTCTTAAGAAATAAATCAGGTGGTGACATATCTATTTGACATTCTGTGGCTGAACAATCAAAAATACTTTTAATTTTTTCTTCTACCCCTGAACAATCTTTTAGGAAACTGTTATGAGTGCACAAAGATTCAAAACACGGCTTACATACAAGATCTTTGACGATGTTTATAATCTGCAAAGTATAGTTTTTTAAATTCTGAAAACTGCAAGTATTTAGTATCATTGATACCATTTCAGGAGCCAATTTCTCAATAGCTTTACGTTCCTCTTCACGTATACACCTAAACTCACTTTCTACTGGGTGCATACACAATCGACATATTTTTTGACTGCAAGAAATATCAATTAACTCACTTTTCTTTTCCTGCATGTACACTTCTCTCAAGTCGAGCTGTAACATTTTTTCGCTATCCACATAAGGAATAATTGCGTTATCGGTATTCAGACAAGCCGACTTAAATTCTGATGCCGTATTTAACTTTCTTTTGCAAATGTTACATATAACCTCTTTGCTCTCGCTATCAAATTTCTGAAAAATATGCAACTTGAAACAGAAAGAAAATAACAGTGGCAGAAAATAGCGATTAAATACTAATGGCACTGTTAAGATCTAATCTAATTATATTTCACCGACTTACCAATTTCAGCAAAAGACCATCTACAATGTCTATGATAATGTTGTCTATCATTTCAAAACTTTTATCGGATATATTTTTAAGGCAAAGTCTACACGAAATTTCCTTAGCATCAATCATTGCTTAGCAACAATCTTATTTTAAGTCTAAAAAGAAAAAAGAACACATGAACAATATAAAGCCGTTATTTCTAACCTTTTCGGTTTCTTCCTGGCAGCGGGCAGCACAGACCATAGATTAATACAGAAAGCGCAGACTGCAGAGGTGCAGAGTGAAGTTGTGGTTAGGAATAGAGATGGGAGTTGAGCGAAACGAAACTGATCCGGTTCACTGAGATCTGTCCCGGATTTCGGTATTTCGGATCTTTACGTTGCAGGGTGCCGACGAATGTCCGCAGTCGTGCGTGAGCCTTTATTGAAAACATTGTTTATGGCCTAAATGATTTGGGCCCTAGGAGAACTATCCCTGTTTGCTATAGGCCAGGACAGTCTCGTGAAGGTGGGCCCCATCCGTCGTCAAGCCCGACTATAAACGTGACCAGTGTAGGCGCTTGTGGAATATACTCGTGTCCTGACTGACCCCGGCCGACAGGCGGTTTCCTCTGGCGCTCTTCTTGTCTTCTCGCTTCCTCGCTAGCTTGTCTAACCCTCCAGAGGTAGTCATCGCGGGCGTGTGTGGCGGTGCCACTAGCTCCCAAAGAGTTTTTGGGAGTAGCGCTGTAGCTAAGGTTGCACGCGGCCAACAAGTCAAATGACTCGTAGGACTGGTGCGGTAACGGGTACGTTAGGGTAGCGCGGAGTCGTTCCGCGGGGACAGGTTTATGTCGTTTCCCTTTTGTTTGTTTTCTTGGCCCTAAAACGTAATGAGGTTTACATATACGGCTGGGTTGAAGGGGTTTTAGGGTTGTCACCCCGGGATGAAGAGTTGGTGTCTATCCTATTCTATAATTCTAGTTCCAATGGTCAAGATGTTCGCATCGTATATGCGTAATCTATGATCGTATAGTATATTATCTATGATCGCATCGCAAGTTGGCTGCCTCATTTAGGTTATGTTTATTTATGTTAAAATTATCAGAATATTTTAGCCTTGCTTTAGATTACAACTTTTAAAATACCTTATAATTTGATGTTAAAATGGAAAATTTTGAGGAAGGGCATTGTAGGTTATGCCTCAGTGTTGTAAATGCTAAACATTTTGAGGAAATAGAAGACGTCACAAGGAATACTTTAGAAGTTCTACTGAAGTTGGTAGGTTCTTTAATGTAGAGACGTGATTTCAGAGCTCGAATCATTAACAAATTTTTTTTGTGAATTTTATATTTAAAACTGTGGCTGTATTCGCTAAACAGGCAGTAACTGTATAACCTGCCCAATATTCCCAATCAGCTGATTGGGCTGACCAACGAAATATTTGTCCCCTTTGAACGACCATTCGCTGAACACGGCCTATATTTAACATTTAAATGTGGCAGAATGGTTTCATTCAGAGTTTTCCAAATACTTTGGAACATATTTTTTATTTTCTAATGAAATTCTCCTTATGAAGTTAAATCACTTTTCAGAATTTTGGCGAAGGATGCAAATATATGATGTGTCACATTTGTTCACAGAAGGTAACGGAAGCATTCAAATTTAAGTCGATGTGTCTCAATACCAATAACACCTTGATTGCTTATATCACTAATGAAACAAGATGTGTTGACTTAAAAGAAATTTACGTAAAAGAAACAAAAAACAAGCACTTATTGGATAAATTAGAGGATCACAAGGTTTGCAGGTTATGTATGCAGCTTACAGGCGAATTTATATCAATTCATGAAATGGAGATTGGCATGATCGAGAAGTATCTTCCAGAAATAGTAAGTAAACAAGTACTCAAAAAAAATGTCACATTTTTTGTAAAGTGTAAGGAAAGGTATTTAAATTAAAAATATGTCCTTTGCAGAATTTCGTTATCATTGAAGATTCCGTCGTTTGCAGACAATGTTTTGATTCCTTCAATACTCACAGTAGTTTCATAAAAAATTGCTTAGAAATAGAGGAAAAAATTCAGAGTATTCATAATGCAGAAGCCCTCGGTAATCTAGCACGGATGCCAGATTCATACATAAAGATTGAGGAGGTCAATATAAAGACTGAAATAATCGAACAGGAAGAAGAATTGTATTCTACTGTACCAAAACTTGAAGATACAAAGACATTGATTAAAACGGAACAGAAAGAATTAAAATCGGAAGATCTTGAGAAGTAAGTCAATCAAAACTGTTCAATTATGGCATTTTTTAAGTTGATACAAAAGTATTTAGGATGGGTCTATGTATAAAAATATAGCCAATCAAAAGTAAAATGAAAAATATTTGTGAAAAAAACTAATCTTTCTGATGTCACAATGATTAAGCATTTAAATTTACACAGTTTTTTATGCTTGTAAAATTTCTGTATCAAAATTTTATAATAAAAAATATATGACTGACATCTCTTTATATTGGGATGTTGAATAGGTTCAGGCTTTTTTGGTGAAAATTAGTTTTATTTAAAAAAAAAATAGTAAAAAACATGTCACGGAAAGTGTCGTCCATCGCCAGCCATTACTTTTTCCCATCTTTCTGGCTGTATTTTAATTCCTCTTCAGATAAACGACACATCTTTTGGAGCTATCCAAGAGCAGACCAATTTTTGGCATCTTCATAAGAAGGGAAGTGGTGCTCAGCCAGGCCATGTGCCATCCATGAAAACAAGTCATAATCAGAAGGGGCAATGTCTGGTGAATATGGCGGGTGTGGTAGGCAATTCTGAATTATTTATCGAGTTCTATTCGTGGTTAAAGTCTAATTTACTCAAACTGGAACACCCTGTATACCGAAATTTTACAAGATTAAATAATATAGTGTGAAATGGAAAACAATTCTAATTCAAATTTCGAAAAGACACATACTCCCATTTCTGTACAATATTTTGATTAGTTGTACTTATCAAACTTTTTTTTTTTTTAGTAGCGGAACTTCAAATACTTCTACCTATAAATTAGAGCTTGAAGAAATTTCTGAAGTAGAAGAAAATAATTCTACACCTAAGAAATACTTAAAGCACAAGAAAAACATGATCTATAAAAATACAGACACACACACAGAAGAGCAAGTGTACAAGTGTGATTTGTGTGATTATGAATCCAAATATAATTACAATCTTAAGACCCATCAGTTAAGACATGCGGACTCCTCCGAAGTACGAATGTACAAGTGTAATTTGTGTGATTTTAGAACCAAATACAAACCTAACCTTACGTCCCACCGGTTGCAACACGTGGACCCTTCAGAATTGCAATTGTACACATGTGACTCATGTGATTTTACTACCAAAGACAAATACAGACTTAAGGCCCATCAATTAACACATGCGGACCCTTCGGAAGTGCGGATGTACAAGTGCGATTTTTGTGTTTTTGAAACCAAATATAAGGAAAGTCTTAATGTCCACCAGTTGAAACATGCGGACTCTTCAGAACTGCAATTTTACAAGTGTGATTTGTGTGAATTCAAGACCAAAAACAAATACAAACTTAAGCCCCACCAGTTGAAACACGCCGACCCTTCAAAAGTGCGGCTGTACGAGTGTGATTGGTGTGATTTTACCACCAAATATAGGAACAGTTTTAAGCTTCATCAGGAGAAACATGCAGATCCCTCGGAAATGCAAATGTACACGTGTGATTCATGTGATTTTACCACCAAAATTAAATGCTCATTTAAACGTCACCAGTTGACACACGCGGATCCTTCAGAAATGCAAATGTATAAGTGTGATTTGTGCAATTTTAAGACTAAATACAAGAACAACCTTAGGACCCACCAGTTGCAACATGCAGGCCCTTCGGCACTGCAAATGTACACGTGCGATTTATGTAATTTTAAGAGCAAATATAAGGACAATCTTAAGAGTCACCAGTTGAAACATGCCGACTCTCCAGAGGTACCTACATATGAGTGCGATATGTGTGAGTATAAGACCAAAATCAAGAACAATTTCATATGCCACCAATTAGTACACAAGAACTCTTCAGACGTGCAAACATACAGATGTAATTCATGTGATTACGAGACTGACAGAAAGGACCTTCTTAAGCTTCACCAGTTGAAACACTCAACAGTGCCAATGCACCAATGCGATTACTGTGGTTTTAGTACCAAATATAAGAACAATCTCAGGACCCACCAGCTGAAACACGCAGACCCCTCAGAAATACGAATGTATAAGTGTGATTTGTGCGATTTTATGACTAAAAATAAGTACAAACTTAGACCCCATCAGTTGAAACATGTGCTTACAAAACCAAAAATAGAAAATACTTAAACCCCTATTGATAGAATTTCAGGACTGTGGTCAAGACAAATTGGGGAAATAAAAGGTATCCTGAAAGTAATACAGGATTTGAATTGTGCGACATTTTTGTGCTGCATTTTGTCTAACCACAATATGTTTACTTCAACATGTGATCCTGAACAATGCTGCCAACTTCTCATATTGAATATGGCACACAATTCTACCTGTGCTTTACTTTTGGGACACCCTTTACAAGTATAACAAGTGTCAATGAAAAGCAAGCATAATTAGATAATCTATGAAGGCCCTTCTAAGGCTAAGGTATAAATATGCACATGCAGTGAATATGTTCCAAGGCGAAATGTAGGCATTGTCTTAAGCAGTGTGTCAATGAGAAAAGCAAGAATATACAAATGAAGGGTTACATGGGATAAAGTACCATCTAAAATGTCCAAATAACAGTACATAAAGGCTTAATACTTCCTCTGTAGCAAATGATGAACTAATAAATTAGAATTTTAAAATAGTTTAATTTTCTATTCCAAAAAATCTCATTATTATATTTGATGAAATTTTGAGCAGATTTTTTTTTTAATTATTTTGAATTAGCTACCTTTAAAATATAAAATATTTATGTATTTTCTTCTTTTAATTTTTTTGTTCTTTTCAGGTGAACAAGAATTTGTATTGATAGTCGGTGAAATATTTAGTATTTTTAAATAATAGCAAGTTTCTTTTGCTTAAAGTGTACATATTTGTTATTTGCCTATTGATGAAAATGTTGGTTTAGCTATGACTATTCAGAAATAGTAATTTTCATTATTTTATCTTTATAAAATTTCATTTTTTTTATTAGTATCTATAAATCAAGAAAAATAATCATTCTAAAATTTCCTGTTTTTCCCATACAATCAATAATAAATAATTAACTAAAAATAGACTACATTTTTATTAAAATAACATAATTCAATTAAACAATCTATTTAATGTTAATGTATTTTAAAACGGTTTTATTTAAGTGGACTACGCAGTACGTTCACTCGGCTAGTAAACGCGACACAGTGTAGTAATTGTAAGAGGGACAAAGTTGTCTTAATTGAACCGGCTCCCTATGAGGGACCGGAACCAGTGAACAGAGTCAGTAAAATGAGCCGGATTTATAATCTAATAGAAACTCACGACATTTGTCATTATGGTATGTGTACCTAGTATTAGGAAGATTTCAATTCAAACTTGTATTTTTACTAAATAATTTTCTTCTGAGACTTATGACTAAATTAGCTAAGACGAAGTGAAGTAAAGAATACAAAAAAGAATACCTACATTAGTTGTATTCTTTTTACTAAATAATTTTCTTCTGAGACTAACTTAGCTAAAACGAAGTGAAGTAAAAAAGAATACATTTATATATTCATGGTTTCAGATTAGTAAGCATTTAAAAAAACTAGCTTAGTTGGGGTAAGGGGGGTTTCTAAAATTCTTAATTATTCTCAGTTTTAAACAATCTTATTAATATAAAAAATTTTTGTAAGAGAAAGTGAGTATGCTAGTTAGTCTCAATTAAAATTGGTTAAAAGAACAGCTATTATATTGTCACAGCTTAATAAAGCTGTGGTATTGATTGTTTTCCACTCGGCTTTCCATTCTTTACACATTCACATTACACTTGCAGATTGGATTTATTTTCTTTATAAAGTCAGGTTAGAAATGAAAAAAATACAATAGTCTTATAGGAATAGCAATATGCACTTCAGATTAGTTGTAAGCATTTTAAAAAGCTAACTTAGTTGGGGAAAGGGAGGGTTTCTAAAATTCTTAGTTATTATGTGGAATTCACAGACTTCTAATATAAAATAGCTATATACTTAGAAGTCTGTGGTTGAGTTGAAGAGTTTTGAGGAAAAGCTTTAGCCTCAATTTTGTAGGTTATAGACATTTTGATGAGATAAAAGTCGCCACGAAGGATATTTTAGAAGATATTCTTCATTTGAATTAGGTAAGTAGGTTAATTAACTTATATATTCTTTAAGCGCTTTCAGAAATTTTATATTTACAACTGCTTAAATATTAACGTAAACAAGAGTACTTCATTGTTTAGTTTTTCAACCAAATATTTTATTCTGATTCTACTTATGATGTCAATTCATATTACAGAATTTCAATAAAAAAATCATATAATGTGTAACTTTTGTTCATGGGAAGTAACAGAAGCATTCAAATTTAAATCCAATAACATAATTCCTCATGTTGAAGAAACAGGACATTCTGTTGACTTAAGACAGATTTATGCGAAGGAGACAAGGAATGGACAATTAATCGACACATCTAGCGATCATAAAGTTTGTTGGTTATGTATACAGATAATAACAGTTTATATTGGTATATGAAACAGAGACTGATATGATCGAGAAGTATATTCCAGAAATAGTAAGTATACACAAGACACCGAATAAGCATATCACACTTTGTAGTCTAGTAAAGATATTTAATTTCTAAAAGGTGTACTTTGCAGAAGATCCTGTTATTAGTAGGCAATGTCCTGTTTCCTTTAGTGCCTACAGCAGTTTTATAAAGTATTTCTAGAAGTGAAGGAAAAATGGGTTCTCATAACACAGAAATCCTTGACAGTCTAGCTTGGAAGCCATCACCAGATTTATACATAAAAACCGAAGATATCGATATAAAATCTGAAGGAAGTGAACAGGAACAAGAAATGCTTGAAATTTGTTCTACTTTGCCACAATTTGAAGATAAAATGGCATTTAATAAAACCGAGTATAAAGAAATAAAATCAGAAATTGAAGATAAAGAGAGGTATGTTTTCTGTCATAGTAATTTTAAGTTAATAAATAAGGTATTGAGAAATAGATTCATGAAAATATAGATTTATGAAAAAACTGAAAAAAATATTCATTCAGAAACATGGCACAAAGCAAGTTTGATCCTCAAAATGACAATTTTAGCAGCAAATTTAAATAAATACATAGTAATTTTCATTTGTATTTTGTTTTCTTCCAAACGATTTCATTTTTATTTTGTAATTTTTGTAAAATTTCTGTATACTTTAGTTTCTCAGCAAAAAAATTATGCTCTACTGATTTTGCATGTTCAATTCCAAATGAAACAATCATTTTCAATTTTATTAGGTGAAGTAATTATGATTAATAAAAACTTGTAAATAAAGACACAAGGATTGTAACCAATCGCCAACATTTGAAATTCTATAAACCTGAATATTTTTCATGACAATTCTTAAACGTTGGGTAAGCCTCATCTTTAGTACATCATTTCATATTTTGTTGAGGATTTTGTAAAGAATACCCAATAATTATGATTAATTCATGTACTAATAGTTTCATAAAAGCATTCTGTGGGGTATGATTATATTTATAGTACCGTACGCGATTTTCTATAAAGTTCATGAAATGTAATGATTAAAAAATTTTGTTTACTTTTGAACCACACTTGTTCAATTTTTTGGAATACTTATTTGTTTTCTGTAAAGGCATATGTTACACATTGAATATTTTTCCACTAAATTTGGTACAAATTCAATTAAGGAAGTGAAGAATCCAGTGGCATCAAATTTTAAATAAAAAAAATATATTAACCAATTTCTGTCAAATTAAATAACCGAAAAATAATAAGTAGGCTTTGATAATCGAAATTAAATTCAAATCATTTGTGTAGTGATAAATTTTTTCACGCTTCATCTTTCAAAAGAAATTAAACGAACTAAATCAGGTGGTAAGACATTTTTTCAGTCTAAAGAATATTTCTGTCTAAAATAGATCATGTTATGTACAAAATTTCAATTAGTTGTACTTATCAGAGGTATTATTTTCAGTAGCAGACCATCAAGTATTTTCAAGTATTCAGAAGAATATAGACACTTAAAGAAACACATAAAGGCAACCAGGTATAAGAACACAGGCACACACTCGGAAAAGCCAGTGTACAAGTGCAATTTTTGTGACTTTAGTACCAAATATAGTTACAATCTGAAGACCCACAAGTTGAGACACATGGACACCTCAGAAGTTCGAATGTACAAGTGTGCTTTGTGCGATTTTAATACTAAATATAAAGCCAATCTTAAATCTCGCCAGTTGCAACACGCCAACCCTTCAGAAGTGCAAATGTACGCATGTGATTCATGTAATTTTACGACGAACAATAAATACCGGCTTAAACGCCACCAGTTGATGCACGCGGACCCCTCGGTAGTGCAAATGTACACGTGTGATTCGTGTAATTTTACTACGAAAATTAAATACAGACTTAAGGAGCATCAGTTGAAACATGCGGACCCTTCAGAAGTGCCAATGTGCATGTGTGATTCGTGCGATTATAGATCAAAAAATAGGAACAATCTTTCGTTACATCAACTACAACACGCCGATCCCTCAAAAATGCAGATGTACACGTGTGATTTGTGTGATTTTAAAACGAAATATAAGAGGAGTCTTAGCCTTCATCAGCTGAAACACGCGGACCCTTCAGAGGTACCGATGTACAAATGTAATTTTTGTGATTATATGTCTAAATACAAAACCAATCTTACAACCCATCAATTAAAACATGCCGATCCTGCAAAGGTGCAAATGTATCAGTGTGATTTATGTCAATATAAATCCAAAAACAGGAATAATGTTAGGTCACACCAAATACAACACACCAGTTTGTCAGAACTGCAATTATACAAGTGTGATCTGTGTGATTTTATGACCAAACATAAGTACACACTTAAGCGCCACCAGTTGACACACACCAGCCCTTCAGAGACGCGAATGTACAACTGCGATTTGTGCGACTTTAAAACTAAATATGAGAACAATCTTAGGATCCACCACTTGAGACATAAAGACTCTCCGGAAGTACATGTATACGAGTGTGACACTTGTGAATACAGATCTAAAAGCAAGAACAATTTTATATGCCATCAATTAGTACACAAGGACTCTTCAGATGTACAAATACACAAATGTAATTCATGTGATTATAAGACGAACAGAAAGTACCTTCTTAAACTTCACCAATTAAAACACTCAGAGGGACCAAGGTGCAAGTGTGATTTGTGTGATTTTGAGACTAAATATAAGAACAATCTTACATCCCATCGACGGACGCACAAAGACCCTTCAAAAGTACAAACGTACAGCTGTGATTTGTGTGATTTTGTGACCAAAAATAAATACAGTCTTAGATCCCACCAGTTGAAACATATGGTTGTAAAACCAAAAATAGAAAGTACTTAAAGTTCCATTCGATGGTCAGGTATGAAAAATGTAAACACAAAATCAAGCATAAACTGGCTTTTACATTCCACTGATAATGTATGAGGATCCAATATATAAATGCATATATGTAGTGAATGTGTTCCAAGGGTAAATATAAGCATTAGACATCATGAATTGACATACAAATAATTCGCAAGCTATAATCTATAATATAAAACCGAGGGGTTGTATCATTAAATGTCACCAAGTAACAGTAGAGAAAGACTTAAAAAACAGTTAGATATTTACAATAATTGTAGTGAGTATTTTAATTTTTAAAATTATACATTTATTATTACCTTATGTACTTTTACTTTCACGGTATCAAGCTAATTCTATTTCTAAAAAATTTTTTAAATCTCAAATATTCAAACGTGCAGGTTGTCCCAATGTTCCGTATATGTTAAACTACTACGGATCAAAATAGCATGAGTTGATTAAACTTTCCTTTGTCTGAAGTTGCTTTGGGAAACGTGGTATGTTGGTACTTATGCATAGATATAACTTATTGAGATAGTACCCAAAGTAATGCGAAAAATATCCTCACCCTTAATCAGATACAGTTATATCTTTTTTGCTTGTGGCTTTACAACTTGGTCAATTTTTCATGTTTTTCTATTAAATTTTTAACTTTAAATTTAACAGTACTTATCGCAGGAATTTTAATGTATGGACCCAAATTTATCCCCGTCCATCGTCTACCCCGGCCACAAGCATGGCCGGTGTAGGCGCTTTGCGGGACCTCCTCTTGCCCTGACTGGCCTCCGCCGACAAATTCGTTGTCTGTTCTTTTTGCCATTCATATGAATATAACTAAAAACAAGATAAACCTAATCAATAACTTTTCAAGTGTAGCCGCCACACATAAATGTCATTTTAACTCCAAATGGGAATACGGTCTAATAGAAAAAAGAAGTAGGGAATCGAGTATAGCTAGCTGATTGGTTGATTAAGTGTAGCGCGCTACAGTCGAAGTTCTGAAAGCGCAGTATTAGCCTGCACTAGATCTATCTCTCTCGCACACGTCTGTGCGATTTCCGTTTATATTGGCAAAATGACAGTTGATCTTGTAGTTTATTAGGTCTATGACCAAGACGAGGAATTCGAGATAGTGGCTGAGCGCGCGGCCCGACGCGTCGACAGAGAGCCAGACAATGACAAAATCCCCCCCGCAAC